ACATAGTATCATTATATGTTGTCCACTCTAGTCTACCTTCCTCACAGTTAAATACATGGTATCATTATATGTTGAAAGTCAAAACTTGAATTTTCTTTTAACTGTGGGTATTGGAAAGCAGCTGACAGAGGCAAATGAAAAGTAGCACAAAACTGTCGAAAGAGCAAATGTGTGCAGTTATGTAGGAAGATCAAAGTAAGCACTTCTTGATCCACACTCTTCCCTAGCCCTGCGTGCGAGCCACACTCTTCCCTAGCCCTGCGTGTGATCCACACTCTTCCCTAGCCCTGCGTGTGATCCACACTCTTCCCTAGCCCTGCGTGCGATCCACACTCTTCTCTAGCCCTGCGTGCGATCCACACTCTTCTCTAGCCCCGCGTGCGATCTACACTCTTCTCTAGCCCCCCTTCAAGATCTTTCTCTTTCACTATCAAAGTGATGCTTCTGAACGTGATTACCTCGGACTTCTCTTCCCAAGAATTTGCTCAGTTCCTCAAATTTACAGGTTCATGTCTTTCCCAACTACAAGCCTTTCTCAGTCATTAATGCTTCAAAAATTTTTTCCACCCATATCATCATTTCTTCTTTTGTAGAACTCTGGTTTGCTGGTTTCTAACCTCAGTCCTCTGGGCTCTCAGCTCTTCTCTTCTAGAATTCCAAGTAATACACCGAAACCCGTTCTCCAGGCTCTGGTCATCCCCACCCCAGCCACGTTTCACCTGTGTTGCTAAGAGCAGCTGGTTCCTACTGACCTACTCCCAAGTTCACTGTCTCTTCCATCAGCACCTCAGTTCTGCTCCTGAGCCCATGCCGAGTTCTTTAGGTTACTGTACTTTTCAAATCTAAAACTTGAATGTGGGTGGTCCTTATTCACCCACCCATCCATCCACCCAGACAGGGTTTTTCTGTGTATCTCTCGCCGTCCTGGAACTAGCTCTGCGGACCAGGCTGGCCTCAAACTCAGAGATCTACTTGCCTCTGCCTCCTGAGTACTGGGATTAAACACAAGCACCACCTCTGCCCTGCAAATCTGGTTCTTTTTTATGTCTTCCGCTTCTTGGATGGTGATTTCGTTTTAACACCTGCTTCGAGGATGGCTGTGACTGCTTACCAGGGCATTTCTGCCACTGCTGCTTTTAAGCCTTTCCCAGCTAACTCCATCTCTGCCCCCTCATCTGTGCCTGCAGATTATCCGTTCTCAATGAGCTGAGCCCTCTCCCCGGCACAAAATTTTGGCCTTTAAGCAAATAATCTCAGCAATGAAACTATGCGTGCCAAGGCATTTGTTTTCACATAGAAAGGCTCCAAATGTTGGGCTGGAGAAATGGCCCAGGGGTTAAGAGTGTACACTGCTCTTGCACAGGCTCCAAGCTAGGTTCCCAGCATTGCCGAGAACTCCAGCTCCAGGGCATCCAAGGTCACTGGCTTCCGCAGGCACATGCGTCTCATACACACAAACTAAAGATGAGAGTGAGTCTTACAAACAGGAGCTCAGTGCGCACGGCTCAGCCATGGCTCAGCACACGTCCAGACTGTGCGGAGTGAGGAGCGTCCCCTGCACACAGCCCTGCTTACCCCTCCACTCTCAGAAGAACACATTCTGTGCACTGATTCTACTGAATGCAGTAAGGTTTTCATTAGTAGCGTAGAGAGTCTCAAGATGCATGAATCAACAATCTGAGAATATCAAATTAGAAATGATGCTACCAGCACAACTGAAGCCAACCAAGGAGGGAAGAGAGGAGGGGGAAGAGAGAGGGCGGGGAAGAGAGAGATGGAAGAGAAGAGAGAAGAGAAGAGAGAGAAGAGAGAGAGAGACAGAGAGACAGGAAGAGGGGAGAAAGAGAGAGAGGGGCACAGTGACCTATCACACATGAACAGACACTATAGTTCAAGATCCTTGGAAAATTATCAATTTCTCTGAAGAGAACTTTCTTTTTTCTCCTTCTGATGCTCCTCACTGACAGTTACCCTTTCCTGAACCCCACCAACAGGGCTGTGCAGCTACACTAAAGGTGTGCACGCCGTCACCTTTGACAAGCTTCTCCATCAAGCTCTTGGTGAATGCTCACTGACCAGGCTGCAGAAGGCTGGCTTGCAGAAACCAGCAGGGACAGAAGAATCCACCAAGCCTGGCACACCAGGGATTCCTACCACCCACGTTTCTCCCTGAGCTGGCAGGGCTGCAGCCCTAGGCAAAATCTATGGCCATACGGCTCCTTTCCCCAGAGAGCCTTCTATGATTCAGCTGTGATTGATAATGAACTTAGTTCCACGTTCAAAATATAAAACACGCTTCCCTTCTTCCCAAATGTCATTCTTCTGCTAGGGACCGAGCAGTCCAAGCTACCCACAATGCACTCTGTGTGGCAGTGCCACCCCCTCCCATGGACTTTCAAACCCTATTAGACATTACATTTGCAGCTGGATACACAAACCCGACTGCTGCCTGCTTTCAGGTCTCTGGCTTAACACGCTCTGCCACGGGCTGCCAATGTCTGCTCACCTGTCCCTGTGCTGGCGGCGACTGGTGGTCAGGGCCACGGCAATGTTATCCCACGCCTTCCAAACCTCCCCTTGGCCTGGGCTCTCACAGCCCAGCTGGCGCCAGCACTCGTCAAACACGGCTTTCCACTTCTCATCTGCAGCCACCGCCAGGTTTCCCAGCTTCCTGCTAACGAAGCCACACCAGCCTTTGCTTCACCAGCGTTTGTCAAAAGTCATCCCCAAGAATAAAAATTATACACAATTCAGAATGCTTTGTGAGTCAAACTGCCAATACCCCAGAGGGAGTTCTACCTTAAAAACACTGGAAGAAGAGTTAGAAGGGATTTACTTTACTCAGTGTTTGTTTACCAGATACTAATGTCCATGGATTGTTACACACAACAGTATTGATCTGATGTCCTCACTCCTACAGAACTGGCTTTGGGAAATAGACTCTTGATAAAACAATGGTTTTCTGCGCTTCAAACATTTTACAAGAATTGTGAAATGTATTACATATGGGTTTCTAAAAATACAAATAAAACAAACAAAATAAAACAAAAATCCACAAAACAAAAAGTCAACATGGACAGAAAATGCAGTGAGTTCTCATTGGAACAGAGAATCTGAAATGAAAGCAAAATGTCCGAACATGGTCCAAGAACGGGACACTGTGAGAATTCTGAGTGCTTGTGAGAACACTCCAGGATAAGACCTCTTGTGACCTCAGTTTCTCCCAAACGTGAAACTGTTCCGGGATGTCTCAATGCTCCTCCCAGGTGCAGCACACAGGGGTGGGTGTACGCCACACTGTTCAGGTTGTTGTTGTTTACAAGACTCTACGGTCTTCCCATGTACAGCTGGTCTGCCATGTGCAGCCTGTCCTTGTGACTGTACACTTTACTCATGAAACTGTTCTTAACCCTCAGAATATAAACCAGTGGTTCTCAGCCTTCCTAAGATGGTGACCCTTTAACACAATTTCTCCTACTGTGGTGACCCCAACCATAAAATTATTTCTACTGCTACTTTATGACTGTGATTTGGCTACTGTTATGAACTGTAATATGAATGTTCTGATAAAGCGGTCGGGACGCAGGCTGAGAACCGCTGGTATAAACTGTCTGATGCTCTGAATAAAGTTGACCATTAAATGAGATGCTAGGCCACCTCATTACCATTTATCCATCCTCCCAGGTCCCCTGCCTTGATAGCATAAACACCAAATATAAAAACAATGACCTCCCACAATCCAACAACTGTGTGCAGTGCACAGCTGTCAGCCTAGTCCCCAGGAGTCTGAGGCAGGGGGATTGAGTCCAGGGCTAGCCACGGATCCACGGATCCACAGTAAGACAGCTCAAAAAAAAAAAAACAAAAAAACCAACAACAACCAACCCTTAAGATGCAATTAATAGGGAAAAGACAACCCAAAACATGACAGAACAATTATACTTAGATTCTGCCTTTTCCTCACTGATGCAGGTTGTACTGCTGTGTGTGTGTGTTTCCACACCTGCACCTCTGAACCACCTTCGCCTTCAGTTAGGACTGCAGATGTAGTATACGGGTGGAAGTCGGGAATTTATAGAAGTTACAACTTTCTTAAAAAGGACAATCATAAAACTTGAGTTTGCTTTAAAATATTAACCTACTTTGATGAAAGCAAGAAAACTCCGACCGCCCAGGAATCACCGCAGGGAGAATACTCACAAGGCTTTGGGCTTGTCTTTGTCACTCTCGTACAGGCTGGGTTTGAAGTAGGTTCCGGTGATCTTTATTCCAGACCCCCATTCTCCACTAAAATAACCTTCAATGTAGTCTCCGTTTGGCATGGTCAGTGTGCCCTGGGTAAGTGAAAGAAAAGTGGAGTTAGAAAAGAGTTAAAACTACAAAATTAAGAGTAAAAATACTAAATACTTAACACTTTCCTTTTTAATTTATTCTTTACCAGTCTGATAAACAAAAGATGCATGCATGTACATGCCCAGAGAGAATGTATAAAAACAACTCATGGGTAAAAAGAAAAATATCCACAGGAATACGGGACATCTTCTTAGTTGGGTGGAACACACTGAACTCCACTCACAGGCTGCTGCTGAAGCCATGGGCAAAGTCATGGCTGCTGGTGTCTTGTCTTAGAAAACTCTAAAGAGCCTAAGTCCCTCGTCTGAAAATCTTATCTCAGAAAACTAGGATGGGGAAAAAATTAACCCTAACACGAGAGTGATCAGAAAAGGCATCGGTGCAACAGGAAATCAAACACTGAGGGAAAAATGTGTACGCACTACATCCAAGTGAAGTTGAGTATCATGGTGCATTCCCTAACATGGGAGATGGAGGAGGAGGACCAGCAGCTAAGTTTATCTTTGACTCCTTAGGGAGTTTACAGCCAATGAGTTCCAACATTTAATGGGAAAAGGTGCTGAGGCAACTAAATATTAATGCACAAGAAGAAGTTTAGTCTCTTTAAAAAATTTAAAGTCACGAAGAAGTGAGAGCCTGTGAAGAAAGAACCAAGTTGCTTCCTGACCTTTCCACTGAGGGTCCAGTCGTCGGAAAATTCTCCTTCGTAGATAGTATCATCTTCTGAAAGCAAAACTCCATTTCCCTGAGTGGAGAAGCATAAGTCACGACACGGATCGCAGAAGTCACGCCCAGAGCCTCCCGCCATCTAAGAGAGTCAGCCAAACAGCGGCAGGCCTGACGGCTCAGGCTCGCCCCGATCAGGAAGCAGAACGGTTTTCCACAAGCCCCAGGCCAGGCAGGCAGTTAAGTTATACAGTGACCTCATCTCAAAGCAGCCAAAACAAGAGTTATAAAGTAATTTAAAGTAATTGAAAGACTTTATACAGGTCAGGGATGTAGGAGATTCTAAAAGTCAACGCGAACCACGTAGGCACATTCCACTCACCGCCATCTTATTCAGGTGGAAGTTGCCTTCGTAATACAACCCAAACTGGGTAACTACCACCCCATTTCCTTGGCACACATCATCCTGCCACATCCCCATGTACTTCTCTCCCCTGCACAGAAATGAGAAGAAAGATAACAATCAAGTAAAAGAAGACAGAGTGGAGAAAAACTATGATCACAGGGACCTGAGCTGCTGCAGTGACTCGAGTCAGCGTCGTCCATGCTACCTCCTCAGACAAGTCAGTGCGATGCAAAAGACATCTCAGTCAGAGCAGTATTCACACTGTGTTCTGCCCAACAGGCTGAATACACTCTATATACTTCTTTGGTAACATTAAAATATCTTATTAAATCAGGTATGGTGGAGTGTACCTTAAAGCCCAAAACTCAGGAGGCAGAGGCAGGCAGATCTCTGAGAGATAAAGACTAGCCAGAGCCACACAGTGTGACCTGGTCTCAAAATAAAATATGCAGTTAAGAAAGAACAGCACAAATTTAAACTATAATAGAATCAAACTTTAATAATTTGTCATAAAAGGTTTAACTTTCACCCACTTAAACTCAGAAGATTCTTATTGGTGTATTTTAAAAAAATGGCGGGAAGAGTCTTAATATACAACAGGGCTTACATGGGAGGGAGAGAAGGGACAGAAAAGAGGGCAGAGACGGGAGGTGGGCAAGGCCCGCCTCCTACAAGGGAACACAGCGGATGTGCACAGGAGATGCTCTTAGGCTGCAGCTGAGGACACAGCCTGTCAGGACCCTAAGAGTAGGCCAGCACAGATGCCTGAAACACTTACTATCTGTGGTTGCAGCTGAGGACACAGCCTGTCAGGACCCTAAGAGTAGGCCAGCACAGATGCCTGAAACACTATCTCTATAAACAAGATAAAATGTGGCCGGGTAGTGGTGGCACACGCCTTTAATCCCAGCATTCAGGAGGCAGAGGACGTGGATCTCTGTGAGCTCTGTGAGCCAGCCTGGTCAACAGAGTGAGTTCCAGGACATCCAGGGCATCTTGAAAAAGAGGGGAAAAAAAGACTCCTGACAACTGTTTCCTTGTGGTAAGCTCTCTTTCTCTTTCCACTGGCATGCTGGGTGGAGTGACCTCAGCCTCCCTCAGCTGGCATCACAGACATGCAGCACTAAGTGCCAACGCCTCAAGCTGAAACGGTCTCTCAATGTCAAATTAAGAGGCTGCAGTCAACTGCTTCTTGGTCTTCTGGCTAAGATCAGACGTAAGATGCTCAGGTCTTCACAAAAACATCACGATTTGAGGGCCTGGAGCGACGGCTCAGCAATGAAGAGCTTGTACTGCTCTTACAGAGGACCCAAGTTTGGCTCCCAGTGCCCACACCATCAGCTCACAACCAGTTAACCCCACCCCCAGGGTATCCAACACCCTCTTCTGTCCTCCCTTGGCAATAGATGAACACACACAGGTGTGTGCGCACACACACAATTAAAAACAAACAGCATGAGGGGCGGTCTATAAACACCATCTTCTCACTGTACACGTGGAGGCGGAAGCGGAGCCCTGTACCTGGTGATGTCATCAAAGACGCCATATCCCGCCTTCTTATCCATCACCCACTGGCCAATGAACATGCTAGGAGAAGAGGAAGTCAGCTTTCCACTTCGGAGGAGACCATGGCCGTGGCGCATATTATCCTGAAAGCAGCCTTCAAACACTTCACCGGAGGCATAGCTGTGGTGGAAGGGGCAAAAGGATAACATGTACATTACAAACTGCAGGGAACACAATGCTGTGCTTTTATGGGTAGCTATAATTATTCGTTTATATAAGCATAAAAAACAATCAAAACCCTCAGTCAGAAGGACGAAGCCTCAAACATTAAAGGTAATGTAATCAATATTCTGCATTAACACAAAAAGTTATATGCTCAGTCCCTTATGGGAAATGAAATACTGAGCTAAGAAGAATGCAAAAAAGTTCTGTTCAAATTAGAACCAAGTAAAAATAAAGTTAGGCTTATAGATGGGACTTGTATACAAAGTCATGGTTTATTCAGTAGGTAAACGGAGATATGAGCCACATTTAATAATACTATCATCACGCCGTAGACGAGGGCACGCTTAAAGAAAGACTCTGCACACAGATCTGGTGATTTGTCCACATAAACGCTGGCTTTATAGCTCTCTGTCCACAACCCTTCCCATGCACACCATCACCTGTAGACTCCTTGGCCACACATTTTCCCTTCTTTCCAGTGGCCCACATAATGGTCTTCTTTGTTCAGGGCCTTGTTAGGGATTCTGTATTCACCATACCTGCCAAGGAGAAGGAAAAGAAGATGCAGGGGTGACGTGCTCACCTTTGGCATGCGATTATAAAGGAGGACGGAGAAGATGCACCTATAAGACCGGGGTGAGTGGGTCTTGACTGAGTCGTATCTACCAGCTAAGCCGTCTGCAAAGGCTGGGGAGTGGAACCCAGGCCTGCTTCCTGTCACCGAGAGACGCCTGACTCTAACACTAACAGAAAGCGGGGCCTCTGTGTCCTCTCCCCAGCCACCGTGAGATGCCAGACTCTAACGCTAGTGGAAGGCAGGACTTCTGTGTCCTCTCCCCAGCCACCGTGAGATGCCAGACTCTAACGCTAGTGGAAGGCAGGACTTCTGTGTCCTCTCCTGTCTCCATCACTGCTTTGCAGCCTGTCTCCCTGGGGACGTCATGGCACACACAGCTCAGGCATCTCTCTAGTGAGCAGGGTAAAACAGAGGGTCCAAACCCTCCTTTCAATCTAGATAGCTACTGAAGGGCTTGGAACCACAACCCGTGACACTGTCACACGTGTACGTTAACTTCCCTATAAGTTTCTTTTATAATAAGACAAATTTCTTAACAGGACACAAAGAATTTAACTGAGTTCAGACCCTCAGTATTCACACAGTGGGAGGAGAGGACCTGCCCAAGTTGCCCTCTGGCCACACATGTGACACGGCACACGTGCGTCCACACACATGCACAATGAATGGACTACGGAATGTGATGAAAAAGAAAACAGGACAAACATTTCCCAAAGTGAGGTCAGCAGAGTAGCATTACCATAACACCCCTTCAAAGATTTCCCTTTTAACAGAGAAATGAATTCAAAACTACCCCCCCCTTTTTTTTTTCCAAGACAGGGTTTCTCTGCAGCTTTGGAGCCTATCCTGGAACTAGCTCTTGTAGACCAGGTTGGCCTTGAGCTCACAGAGATTGGCTGCCTCTGCTTCCCGAGTGCTGGGATTAAAGGTGTGCACCACCGCTCGGCTAATTTGAAACTACTTAACAGCTGGCCAGCTGGCTGGAGGCAGCAGCTCAGCAGTGGAGCGTTTGCCCAGCATTCCCAAGGTCCTACAGTCCACACAGTCCATCCTCAACACAGCAAGAGGGGAGACAGTTATTCCTCCAAAAGTACTGAAAATAACATTTCTCTATATCCTGTGTGTCCCGGTGACACTGCTGGTCAGCTGACTCACATAAATTCTGCCCTAGCTCATCTTCTCCACGGATCCAAAGCACCCAAATGAACGCACAACAGAAACCCACCACTTGCTTGAAAAGCAACTACCAACAGTCAGTGGCTTGTGACCAGATTAAAATTCATCTTCTACTTTACACAATTTCCTTACCCATCTTCCAGGCCATTCCTGAACATGCCAGAATACGTCTTTCCATCCAGCCACTTCAGAACACCCCTGGAAGGCATAAACAAAAGGAACAACTGTCAAGTCATGGTTCGGATAAACAAGGCTTTCTCCACACTTTGACTGCTGCCACCCCCTTCCCCAGGAAAAGGACGGAGCACTCTTTACCTGCCATGAGGCTTTCCCGAAAGCCAGCGCCCGTCGTAAGTGGCATCCTTCAGGCGAGGATCCTTGTAGAAAGTGTACTTGGCGCTTCTTGAGATGGGTGGTTCCTGCCTCTGAACACTGCTGCCACCTCCATAGAGTGGAAAATCGGATGTCCCCCTCAAAGCCTGATCCACGGCTTGGCTGATAGCCCGAAGCCACTTGGTCTAGAGGCAGAGAGTCCACGTCAGGAAGTGCAGGGCAGTAATCAGCCAAGTACTGCACTAAGTTTGCTGGCTTTCTCGCTGTGCCCTTTCTATCGCCTGTCACTTCTCTCATTGAGTGATGGGAACCAGCTCTTAGAATTTATTGCTACTGGTTTAAAATCAAGTCATACTTTATAAAGCAAGAGAAGGGTTTCTTTGAGAGTTTCAGGTCAGCCTGGACGATTCAGTGAGTTCCAGGTCAACCTGGACCACACAGTAAGAGGCTACCTAAAAACAAAACAAAACAAAAACCAAATAAAATGAATTACAAAGATCAGCCAGGCATCATGGCTCACTCCTATAGTCCCAGCACTTGGAAGGTTAAGGCAGAAAGAATTCCGTGCTCTAAGCCAGCCAGGGCTACACAGCGAGTCACTGTCTCAGGGAAACAGAACCAACAACAACGTGTGTTCTTGTTTACTAACATGAAAGGCCAAGATGAAAGAAAAGGCCATGCAGAACTAACCTTCTCCTGGGGTGTTGAGGAGATGAGTGTGAACTGCTCCTCAGGTGTGGTTATCTTCAGGCCATTCCTGAAACATTCCCAAGGATGAACACCAGCAGACAGCAGAACCCTCCCCACCCTCCCCATGAGCGCAGATGCTCCTGCTCTAGACTGAGCTCCACAGGGAGAAGATCCAGAATGGCAGGGCTGCATCACCACAGCGGCCTGAGCAGTGAGGACGCCCAGCCCCCCACCCCTCCCCGCCCCCCCATCCCAGCTCACCGCGAGCTTCACCACAGGGCCCTTCATCACCAACAGGCACGTTAGGAAGGAGGGATGAGGAACAGTTTCCTATGCCCCCCCCCACACTTTCCCTGACCATCCCACTTAAGGAAAGAAGAGGAACAGGAGGAGGCACACGTACACGCTACCAGCTTCTTCGGAAAGTGGCTCTGCCCACAGTGTGGCCAAAGGGAACACGTGGTGCGTGGAGAACTGGAAAAGAGAACACAGGACACATCTGTGAGGAGCCGACGGCAACCTCGGGTCTCTGCTAGGACCCTTCCCGTCAACAGCTCACGTGGGCCCCACAGCACAAACCCCCTGAGAGGGCTAGAGCAGGTGGTGGACCAACCCTGCTGCAACCCCCATTCCACAGCCAGCTATGCTGGGCCTTCCCATCCCTGCTCTAGGACCCTGCACACGGCTGACACTCTGTCTCAAGCTAGAAAATAAAATCTTGGCTACAGTGTAGCTGAAGGGGGGGAGCTGCTTCATATTTAAGAGGTCCTGGATTCAGGAGAGAGAGAGAGACTCAAATGTAGCCAATACCCAATTATTCAAATAATTACAAAGAAATCATAACAATGCTTAACGTAAATAGATAGCCATGTACTATATAATGATGCATCTATCAGTCAATGAGATAATGACAGTCCCAAAAAACAACAGAGCTGAAAAATTCCTTCTGCCTAGTGATCTCATAGCTAACACTAACACTTGTTACTACTGTGTTACAGCTGCTAGCGATGTTCCGTACAATAACAGGCTGTGTGGTCAAAGCCCGGCAGCATAGCCTGTACCATACAGTCCCTGACCACAGGCTATCCCTTCTGGATTCTGCGAGCCCACCGGCATTTAGGGAACAGTGGAATTGCCCAACACCATATCTCTGGCAACACAGCCCGTCAGGGCACAGCTCACAACTGCCCACTAGGGATCCTGCCTACCTGAGCGTGGACCAGGGCGTCGTTGAAGAGGATGAACCAGTTCACGGAGAACCTGCCCGCGTGCTGCAGCGACAGCGCCCGGTTACTGCTCTCACACAGCAGTCGGCGCTCCGGCTTCCGCAGGGAGTCCTGCGAGGAACCACGCAGTCTGTGAGCCTCTGTGAGCCGTCAACATCACACAGATGCATGCGCAAGGGAGAGTGAACTAGGCTCAAGGCGTATTTAGGGCGACCTTCTGGTCATAGCTTATCGCAGCATTAAACCCTTCCTAAAATTAGAGTCCAGAGGAGCCTCAAGGAAACCCAAGGCAGCAAGCCTGCAGAGGCCCCTTCCTGCCCCCCCCCCTCCCCCGGGAACCAAGGGATGCACTGGGACTCGAACACTCATTGCTCTGGTTCTCAGAAGGCCACTCTGCCGGTAAAGGAAGGGGAGCAGAGAGAGGCTGGCTGGTGGGACCGGCGACAGCGGGCAGGCTTACCGTCATTTTCCCAGGAAAGGTCTTCCAGAAGCCCAGCGTGTACTCTGCTTCCTTCCTCTTCCTGCCGAGATGGAGAGCAAGAGATTCATAACAAGAACTGGAATCCTGCAGCATCTGATACTCTGGAGATGCCTGGAGACCAATACACAAGGGGACGAGGACAGCGCATTATCCACACACTGCAGCCTCTGCGTGGGTCAGGTTTACAGCACAGCAGGAGGAAAACTCAGCCAGGGAGAGGGGGGCTGATGCATGTGAGATGGGGTAGACAGTGGTAGTAGTCAGCAGAAGGGAGCTCCTGTACACTGCAAAGATCTGTCACTCCTATAAATTTAATAAAACACTGATTGACCAGTAGCCAGAAAGTATAGGTAGGGGAATCAGACTAGGAAAATTCTGGGAAGAAAGGCAGAGTCAGTCACCAGCCAGATGCAGAGGAAGCAAGATGAGAATGCCTTACTGAGAAGATACCAAGTCACATGGCTAAACACTGATAAGAATTACAGGCTAATTCGAGTTGTAAGAGCTAGTTAATAATAAGCCTGAGCTAAGAGGCCAATCAGTTTATAATTAATATAAGCCTCTGTGTGTTTCTTTGGGACTGGGCAGGACAGACAGTTCCTTCCATAGGGAGCCTTTCTCAGCTGTGCCTCCATTTGCTCATCCATAAAGTGGGATAACGGTTACAGCTTTCTCCAGGGTCGATGGCTAAACAGAAACACAGAACACACTCAAAACAGTGGCTGAAAAGCCAGGCAGGCACAGTTCTTTAAATTCAGTGCTCAGAAGGCAGAGGCAGTCAGATTTCTGAGTTCAAGGCCAGCCTGGTCTACGAAACAAGTTCCAGGACAGCCAGGACTATACAGAGAAACCCTGTCTTGAAAGCCATGCCCTCCCCCATCAAAAAAAGAAAGAAAGAACAGGGACAAGAATATGAAATGCTCTAGATCAGTGTATGTGACTAAGACTCAGCACGTGCTCCACAAGCCCTGACCTTCCTGAAGTAGCAGCCATTGTAGCGGACGCTCTACTCTAGACGGCTTCACAAGGTGAACAGGTCTGAATAAGGTCCAGAGAAGAAATGCTCTACCCTGCTTATCCTTTCTCCTTCCACTTTCTCACAGAGAAGGAAATCTTAATTAGACACACATAAGTGTTAATTTAATGGGCCCCAGCATCTTACGGTGACTTCACGCCAACAACCTATGTTGATATTTGGCTTCCCCAGTATCCAAGGGGGCACGCAGGGGAACCTACCACTTCAAAGCAGGTGGCGAGCTTCAGCAAAACTTTGGCGTAATTATGAAGTCGTCTGACTGGCAAGAAGAACACCGTGTTCAGTATTTCCATCAACTGGGTGTTCTCATCATTCACTTCTGACAGATCTTGTAAGAGTTCTTGGTTTTTATTTAGGAAATCACTGGAAAAGGGGGAAACAAGATCCTGTTGACCATCTGGGATAAACAGTATGAACGGTATTACACAAAAAGTCTCACTGCAGAACTGTGCAGAACGCACGGCCTTGGCGTTAAGAAAACGAATACAGACACAATAAAATGACCCAGGTGTAAGTGACAGAATTATAATTTTTTAACCAATAAAATAGGACTTTAAAGTGCAAGATACAGCAATGGTAGCAACAGTAACTCTAATAGAAACGGTTGGTAACAGACTTTCCTCATGTTCTAGGAAATGAACGTGGCACGCCACGGTTTCGGGGACAAATGATAAACCGGCACCATCCTGTTACTTTCACAGCCCAGAGTCCCAAGACTCTGGCAGGTCTGGCCACTGCTGGGCTGTGCCGAACAGAGATACAGTGGAAAGGCTGAGCCCCTTGCTCCGAGCACTGGTGTGGAACTAATAATACGTCTAAGCTCTGCCTTCCCACCCGACTGTCAGCACACACTGACCACTAAACTAGACTTAGAGGAACAGGACAAGCCAGGCGTGGTGGTGCACACCTGTAATCCCAGTACTCAGGAGGCAGAGGGTCAGGAGTTGTCTTTGAAGCCAGCCTTGTCCTATAGTAATAATGAAAAATTAATGAACTGTCTAAATTTATCAATCTGAAAGATTCATAGGTGACCACCAATGAAACAGCAGAATTACTGAAATAAAGAACAGGCGTCTCCAACCTTCCCTAAGGACTTACAAGAAGTTAATGGTTAACGGGGACGGGAGGAGCATTTTCTTCAGTGGTGTAGTCACTAGCAGGATGGTCCTAGCATAGAATTCCCAATCCATGATTCTGTAAGCAACCCTAACAATAACACTGGGCTATTAAAGAAAATAGACATGAAAGAGGAAGGGTACAGGGTGGAAAAGGGAAGAATCAGAGGGATTGGGAAGAAAGCAAGAGAGGGTATAAGATCAAAATACATTCTACACAGGTATGTAAATGTTGGAATTAAGCTACTATTATGCATAATTAATATATGCTGACATGACATTTTAAAATGAGAAACAGTAACCAATCTTTGAAAATATTAAAAGGGAGCAAACTACTGACAAGACTGTCATAATTTTTAAAATAAACAAAGTAGACTCCAGTCAGGGGAGCAGATCACCGACGTAATCAGCCTCAACTCAAACACTGGTGAAGCTCCTGAGGACAAGCAACTGCCGCTGGGGCAGGGTGGCCTAGTCTTTACCCAGAGGAAGGCATTTACAGTCATCCCTCTGAACTCTGCAATCTCTGGGGAAGAGGTGAAGAGCTGTGTAACATTTTCCTCTTAGATTGATTCTGCAGGAAACTCCTTAAGCAGGAAGGTAAACAACTCCAAAGAGCCCTAGGAAGTTCCTGAAACTGACCAGATTCACTAGGTCCTTTTTTCCAAAGAATAAACAAGCCAAGCTGCAAAGAAGACTCTGGAGACCAGACCAGCTCTGCCTGGAGTAGCTTTAGACTGGAGTGACCTGGAAGGGCCGCTCTCCAGCCTGTGGAGCTGTGTGCAGGCTGTGCAGTGAGCTCCAGATTCCCGGCTCTGTGGGCTCTGCCAGCTACAACAGTGATGGGCCCGCGAGAAAAGGCCTGGTGCAAGAAGGGCACAGGGTAACCAGACTGAAGGCCCACCCCAGGAGACAGAACCAGTATCTGATGCCATCCTGCCGATGCTGCTGTGCCCACCGATGGGTGCTGCTAGTCCTCATCAGATAGTAACACGGAGTGGACCGTGTGCAGAGTGTGAGGGTTCGTGCACTCAACCCTAAATGGAATGTCTTTATCACACCCGTCCCCTCAAAGCTCAGGGGTCCATGCAGAAGAGGAGACAGGAAGACTTTTAAGAGCCAAGATGTTTCTAAGGAGACATCATCTTCCAGATATAACGGCCGATAAACACATCAGCTCATAGAGACTGTGACCACATGCACACAACCTGGGCAGATTCCAACTAGACAAAATCCCAACCCTGAGAAGGAGAGGCGGACACTAGTCCCAGCCCTAACCATGAAGCTATATGCAATTGATGGCTGTCGGGAGAGGGAGAGTGCACTTTACTCAACCTGTCATGGCAGGTCCCATGACAAGGTTGAACACAAAACTGTCTCCATGTTTCTTTGTTTTGTTTTTAAAGAGAAAAAGACATAAAACTGGGTGAGTTTTGAGGAGAAGGATCTGAGAGGAGCTTGGGGAGAGCAAAGAATACAATAAAATATTTTGTATGAGATTCTCAAGAAATAAACAGAAACCCTGAACGTGTGCTCTATGGTGGTTAGAAGGGTGAGTGGAAGGTGTAGACCGCTTACATGGCAGGCTTCGCGAGGAGCTGGAACCCTCCCATCACCAGGAAGTTTGAGAATGATGCACAGTACCTGGGCGGAAGAGAGGACACACCGGCATTAGTGACGGAACGTAAACCAGCTCTGTGCAGTTTCCAATGCAAACCTAGATGGTTTCTGAAGCACTACCCTCGAGTTTCAGAACTTCTGGGACATCAACGTAACGGATTCTTACCACCGGAGAAGAACGGGCAGGCAGACGCCGTAGGGGCATGGTAGGAGCAGGGCAGTAGGAACGCTAACAGAAACAAGACATCACAAGCCAGGTCTGCCGGGCTGGTGGCACTTACTAACCTAACAAGCTGGGGAAAATGTGGTTCAAACTGTAGGGTTTTTAATGCAAACTTAATCTTCATTTAAAGTTCTCCAACTAAGTCCTCAGAAAAGGAACACTGAAGGTTAACTAAACATTAAGGGAACGGGGGTGGTGCTCCAGACAGACTGCTCAGGGCAGGAACACTCCTTTCAGACTCTGGGGCTAGTAAGCCTGAAACTGCCAGAGACAGGACATTCTTCCTAACTGGGGCCGCAGTGGTAGAGGCTAAAAATGTAAATTACTGAGCCAGGGTGGTGGCACACCCTGGAGGCAGAGTTCAAGGTCAACCTGGTCTCCAAAGCAAGTTCCAGGACAGCCAGAACTACAAAGAATCCTACCTACAAAGATAACTACTGTGCTTTAAATGTAGCTCAACACATCAAAACTTCATTTTAAAGCAAAAGGTCAGGAATAATAGAGCGGGGAGGTGGGGGGAGAAATGGAGGTATGGTGGGTAATAAATACAAGACAAAAAAAGGGGGGAAATTGCACTAATAAAACCTGAAACCTTCAAACAAATAACAAAGACTAATGTTTAAAATAAATCCGTGTGTCAAGTTCTATCATTATTTTTCATGGTTGATGAGTTAGAAGAGTAAAGTCAAGTTAATTCTCCCTAGGCAACAGCTTCCAATATACTTAATTTGCCTGGGGCTGAAGTCACTTAGATACTAAGTCTGAAAGGAAAATACTAAGGTGATTGCAGGCTATTTCTACTGGTGGGAAGGGGCCAACTTTAAATATCCTTTTGATTAACATTGCCTGCAGCTCTTGATAATAAACACACATCAGTCCTTGGGTTATTTATAACCCAGGGAAAACACAGGAACTCCCTGGCAACAGGTGCTGTAACTCTGTGCAGTGCCTGGCACTTGGTGGCACAGAGTCAATTTCTGGCAGACAGATGGAGAATAAATAAGCTACATATAAAAACAGCACAGCCTTGGAATCAACAGTGTTACCTGGTATACATTAAAATAACACTTAAATTATTGTCTCAAATCATGGTATCAAAACACAAATCAAGAAAAAGCAACAAATAGTTTAAGATTACAAATATTCTTGGTCTACTTTACTTATAAAACATTCTTGGTGCTATCCAGAAAACACCGTTATGTTAAATGTAACTAAAGTGTCCCATCAGACAGCAGTAAAAACCAGGCTCACACTTCACCTGCTCTTTAAATACACTTCTTCATTTCCTCAAATTTTGGTCTAATTTACTTAAGTAAACAAAAATAACCAGATTTACGGCAGGACATTGTATGTAAATAAAATACGCTATCAATCTCTGTTGGGTACAGAAGGAAACGGTGAAGTTAAACGCCTGCCAGGTCTGTGGCCCAGTGCCCTTTCCCTGTGCAGATCCCCGTGCTGAGACCGAACCTAACCAGGGACTGATACTTGCTCTGTGTAACTGTCCAAGAACAGACTCGAGTGCTTCATGATGACCAGGCTCCTGGCTTCCTTCACGCCCTGCAGGAAGCTGCTAAGTGAGGCTCCGTGCTGCCCAATGAGATAACACAGCTTGCTGAACCGGCTTGCGACTTCCTGCAACAGCTGCAAAGTGGTCACAGTGCCCAAGTTGTCTGCACCAAAACGACAACAAATGAAAACCAAGAGCCGTCTCACGACGGTCCCTAAGAGCTGCCTTATGACGGCCCCTAAGAGCTGCCTTATGACGGCCCCTAAGAGCTGCCTTATGACGGCCCCTAAGAGCTGCCTTATGACGGCCCCTAAGAGCTGTCTTATGATGGCCCCTTTCTGAAAACACTCATCTGTGGAACCCCAGACACTACCACAAGTGTCACAGAAACCATACAAACTGTTGGGTGCCTGGTTCTGCTATCTCTGAAAGGGTGTTTCTTTAAAGGTTTCCCACTTGATTTTTTAGTATCTCAGCCAAACTGCAGACCCTCTGAAGCTAACACTTGTGAAATTTTGAAAACACTCCCCTCTCTTGCCTAAGTTCTGAGCCCATCCTCTGGAGGAGACTTTACACAGTTGGGGCTCCACACCCTGCATTCACAGATACAGTTAAATTAGTCAGGAGTGGTGATCTAGGGTGGGGTGGGGAAGGCGACAACTTACCTAAACTGAGAAGAGGCCGAAGTATCTGAGATTTGATTTCACTTAGTTTTGAATAAAACCGTCTTTCCGTAGTAGCCAATTCATGGAGACTGGCGATATAGCCCATGACATTCTTGTCCACCAGGGCAAGGTAACTATCTGTTCCTGCTGTTACTCTGCTTATATACCCAAGCTGAAAGGGGAAAACAAAGAGATCGCTGATACAATGCAATTTATGAGCAATGACCTGGTCCGTCGCACGGGCTCACAGCAGCAGACGGGGGCTCAGGTGAGGATAACCAGGAGTTGGGAAGCAGGTTATTAACAATGAAGATTTACAAACTCTGCGTGTAGAGCTCTCTTGTTCTGGAGCTGTTTATGCACACACCACTGTTAGTGTGAGTAACTGTGTGTACTTAGTTGTAATCACTTCAAGATACCTTAGACGTAAAGAGTCAATCAATAAGAATTATATATCTCCAGACTCACTCTGCATAAAATAAGATTAATGAGAACAAAGAGGAGCCCTGTGCTATACCAAGGGTCTCTGTGTTACCTTGTCTCTTAAAAGTGCCAAAATGAGGGGATTTTCTTTAAGAAAACACAGAGCCAATAAGATGTTTAATGCCTATAATTCCAGCACCTAGAGGCTGAAACAGGAGGCATGCTGGGAGTTCAAGGTCATTCTGGCTATACAGTGAGTTCCAGGTTAGTATAGGCTACAGTATGAGGAAAAAAAAAAAAACAACAACCCTGCAATTCCAGGCTGGGGATCAGTCTGAGATTAGCCTCAGCTAAAATGCGGGGAAAACACAGGAGGAAATGCTTCAGGATATCATCCTGGGCAAAGATTTTTCTGGTTATGACCACAAAATACAAGCCACAGAAGAAAAAAAATGACAAGAGACTATATTAGACTAAAAGTGTCAATGCACATGGATGGGGTGGGGTGGGATGGGGGATAAAGTGAAGAGACAGTCTACAGAACGGGAGAAGAAACCTTTGCACTATCATCCAACGGAACATGAAAGGGAATGAAAAATCCCAAATAATCCAGCTGAAAACTGGGAAACTGTTTTGAGAAAATAGAATTTTCTCAAAGAGGATATTCAAATGGCCCTCAAAATAAACAAATAAATAAATAACAAAGAAACCTAGGAAAAGAACTATTACATGATCCAGCAGCCCCACTATTCAGAATATTTCCAACGGAGCTAAAATCAGTATGTCAAGATGGTATCTGTAGTTAGATACGGAATCACGTGGGTGTCCCTTGGCAGAAGAACACATGAAGAAAATACACAATGTGTACATAATGCAACACCATTCAGCCACAGAAGCGAACTTCTGATACTTGTAATATATAGCTGTGGTCACCAAAGGGAGTGGGGACAGGAGAGACAGTGGACCCAAGGTACAACTGGAAGCAGGAGGAAGACACTGATGTCACATATGGTAGGGCAGATGTCACTAAGATGCTGACGCCACATATGGTAGGGCAGATGTCACTAAGATGCTGACGCCACATATGGTAGGGCAGATGTCACTAAGACTGACGTCACATATGGTAGGGCAGATGTCACTAAGACGCTGACGTCACATACGGTAGGGCAGATGTCACTAAGATGCTGATGTCACATATGGTAGGGCAGATGTCGCTAAGACGCTGACGTCACATATGGTAGGGTAGATGTCACTAAGATGATGTCACATATGGTAGGGTAGATGTCACTAAGATGATGACGTCACATATGGTAGGGTAGATGTCACTAAGACGCTGACGTCACATATGGTAGGGTAGATGTCACTAAGACGCTGACGTCACATATGGTAGGGTAGATGTCACTAAGATGATGACGTCACATATGGTAGGGCAGATGTCACTAAGACTGATGTCACATATGGTAGGGTAGATGTCACTATGGCGATGATGTCACATATGGTAGGGTAGATGTCACTAGATGATGACGTCACATATGGTAGGGTAGATGTCACTATGGCGATGATGTCACATATGGTAGGGTAGATGTCACTAAGATGATGACGTCACATATGGTAGGGCAGATGTCACTAAGACGCTGAGGAAGATCAGCTGGAAAGCTGGGGAGGGGGAAGCAGACAGGACAGCCTACATAGGGAGCTCCAGGGCAGTCAGGATGGCACAAAGACCCTTTCTCAAAAACAAAGCAAACAGAACAATTAGCCGAGTATCTCATAAACAGCCAGTAGAAAAGGGTCCTGGATGCTCCTATTACAAAGAAAATGTCTAGGGTGACGAACACGCCACATGCTGGTGTGGTATCACCCCTCATACCTATGTGCTGAATGTCACATAGAACCCACAACTGTCTTTTTCCTTTCACATCTGCCCTTCCTACTATGACAAGACCACTCCCTGTCCGTATTACAGCAGGCGGGCTGTGCGACCCAGGGAAGTCGGGGACACACACCAGATCCCCATGCCTTCCTTTCATTAGCCCATTTCATACTTTAGCCCAAAGTCTCTCACAGGGCATGTGACAGGCAGCCACTGCACGGAGCCAATCAGCATGCCCCAAACAGCCAAACCTCGGCCAATGCTGCCTCTGGCAATTTAAGGCCTTGTCTTAACACATTCAGAGCCTACTAACCAGACAGCCAAAGACTACATGGTCCAAAACCACATTTTTCAATGAGAATAGAAAATCTAGGATGTATCAGCACTGAGGGTTACATTCCCTGTTGACATGTCTCTCTGAGGATGTGGGTTGCTTTAACAGGAAAAGCAGAAACAAGCGAATGTTCTCAGTATGTAAAGACGAGGCAGGAGGTGGAAAAGCAGACACTGGTTTAGATCTTCAAAAGAGGAAGAAGTGGCTAAGCTGACAGAGAGGACTCAGGCAGTTAGTTCTGCCTATGGCTTGTTGGGATCTCTGTGAGCACAGCTCAGGATCTCAAGTTAGCAGTGCCCAAGGAGACTGAGAAATGCCTGTCATAATCCACCTGAAGGCTCCAGGAAACCCTCCGAGGTTTGTGGGGTGGCGCCTTTCAATACTCCTGCACAGTAAAACAGAAATAAAATAAAAACAACTCAGGGCTTAACTCAGTGGGAGAGTTCTTGCCCAATGCAGAGAGAACCCCGAGTTCCAGCCCTGGCATCACGAAACAAAAGCATGCAGCAGCACAGGCGTAGCCTTCCCCCAGGAGAGCTCACTCAACAACTGCTCCTAGACCTTGCAGTGTGCAGGGCAGTAATCCCAGTCACTGGGAGAAGGAGGCAGGAGGCCTGTGCAGCAAGCCCCAGGCCACCCTGAGCTGCATGCTGATCAAGATCTTGCCTCACAAAGATAATGACTCCAGCTTGTGTGCTGTGCAGACACAACAATGGATGAGGAAGCCAGAAAGCCCTATACTCGTGCAAGACAGACAGAAGATAAGATCACAGTGCTCACACTGACGGGTGTGTTAGGGAGAACAGAGCAGAGAGATAAGAAGCGGAGGACAAGGAGGGGTTTGCAGTTTTACACGAGGTGGTCAGAGAACTTAAACGTCAGGCAGACTTGTAGTTCAAAGGCTCCTGCAGCTACAGAATGCGGGCTTTAGGGTCCAGCTCCTATTCACCTTGTTGCAGGAGAGAAGGACTGGAGTCTTGGTGCCACCGGGATTCTCGGGAAGGGCGTCACCTTCTGCAGGGTCCTGCCGGCCACTGTAGTACAGCCCAGGCTGGGAGTCTTTGGTGTCCACTAGAAACAAGGAGTAGTCCCGGCCTGCGGCCACACTCCAGACTCCGTTCTCACTGCTAACCTGAAATGACAGAAAGACAGCGTCTGTCTGTCTGTCTGTCCAAATTAACCGAGGAGAATCCAGTTGCATGGAACAGATTACTTAAGCGGGCACGGGCAGTCAGCCATACCCTAGAGAGTGAAGCAAACCCAGCAAGGTACCCAGTTACTACAGAACAGAGCAGAAGGGAAAAAAAAAAAACCAGCAACCTGATGTTCAGCTTTTAAACTTGAATTGGATTTGAAAAAGTAGAATACAGAAAGGAAAAAGTATAGTTCTTAATAGTTTTTAATGTTATTTTTGTAGGTGTCTATAGGCAGCTTATTTTATAGGGAGGAGGCTCTGGAGCCCTGCTCTAAAAGTCACACCTCGAGTGGACCTCTGTCCGTTCACATTCAGCTGTGTGCCAAAGATCTACATAAAAACAAAACATCTAATAAGGCTAAGTCTCATTGTTACCAACTGAGCCCTGGGATGCTCCCTTCTGGACTCTGTGGGCACTCACACATATTCATAATTAAGATTTTCTTAAACTGGTGGCTTAATCCTTTAATCTCAGCATTTGGGAGGCAGAGGAAGGCAGATCTCTGTGAGTTTGAGGCCAGCCTGGTCTACAGAGCGAGTTCCAGGACAGCCAGAGCTACACAGAGAAACCCTGTCTCGGGTGAGGGTGGGGGGGATTATTTACTACTGAAACTAAAAGCAGAAATGTGTTAACGTTTCAGTCTTTTTGTCCAAGCAGAATCCTGCTCACTGAAGGGAAGCCACCAGCATGGGTCTTGGGCACTGATGCTGTTCCCAGAATTAAGGCAGCTTCCCCTCCTACTCTCTGTTACTCTCAGCAGAGGGCGTCTTGGGCGGGGGAGGCAGCGTCAGCACCCTATCCCATTCCACCATGCCCTGGTTCACACCACCCTGCTTCCAAACACTAGAGCGGGAATTAGCCTCACTGGCTGCGTTCTGGCATTCCTGAGAAGTGTTAGGACAAAGGAAAGGCCGGGAAACATATCAAGGATGAAACAGAAAGTGTTATATAAATGAAAACCAATTTATAAGTCAGAGACGGGGATCATCTGAACCTGTAGTTTTGCTGCAGAAAAAGTGTTAACAAAGGTTTACTGTGGTGTAAGCCATAGAACAGAACATCAGAAAATTATGACTTTTCAAAACCAAATTTAAGATAGAAGTCAGAGTAGACATTGTTTGATGGTAACATAGCCCTGAACACACTAAAGGCATAAAATTTTGTATAAAAGAACCTTTTCTTTTTCTTCTTTTTTTGGGGGGGCTAAGAGAAGGTAGAAGTACTGTCAATATTCAACAAACAGACAAGGCTGTGAAGTAAAAACATTTTTGAAAAATTACATTTAGCTAGAAAAGGAGTGGCTTCATGTTATGAAATCATATTTTAATCAGTGTTTTAGAAAAATTGTATTTATAAACTAAACTTGGCTACAAAACAATTTCCCTAGACACATAAAATGCAATAGCACAGAATTCTGGAATACACTGCTCTTATGTTCACAAGATTACCTTTGCAAGCCGAGGGACTGTGGTTGGAAAATCAGAATGCCCGAGCTGACCGAAGGTGTTACTGCCCCAGGAGTAGACCTGTCAGAGACAACAGCAGCGCAGGTGAGACGTGTGCACTTTCATGACAGGTTAGCTCCAGACCTTTATGAGGCTGGACCTGCAGTCACAGAGACCAGGCACTCATTTTCTAAACTTTAAAATAACAGACATTAGCTGGACACAGAGGCTCACATCTGAAATCCCCGTACTCAGGAGAACGAGGTAGGAGAAGCTCCCAGTTCAAGCTATAAAGTGAAAACCTGTTTCCTCCCATTTCAGAGAATGGAGGAGGAGGAGGAAGAAAAAAGAAAACAGAAGCAGAGGAGGAGTAAACAGAAATGAAACCTGGCATGGTGGCACAAGCTTATAATCAAAGCACAGTCAGGAGGCTGAGGCAGGAGGATCTCAAGTTTGAGGCCAGTCTGCCTGCACAAGGTCTGCCAACACCCTGCCACAGACGAGGAGGAAGTCATGGTCCTCCCACAGACCCTTTTCTTCAGTGGTGCAGGCTCTAGAAGGTGCATGTGCTCCTGTAACAATCGGGTACGCGTAGGTGTGTGCAGGAAGGAAGGACGGTGGCTGGGCAGAGGAAGGGGACTGGCGGGGAGTGGGAGCAATGTGGTCCCTACAGTGAAAATGTCCTGAGACCCATTGTTACGTGGAATATAGGCCAATATAACAGAAAACAAAACCAAACTCCATATATCAAGGAAATCATCACTGCTTCTTTAGTCCAGGGCATTCTGACTCAGCATCCCGCATCATCACGTCCAGCTAAGTTAAGTCAACACTTTTGTGATCGTTCACCTGTAAGTTCACCTGTAAGTCAGCACCCAAGATGCTAAAGCCACAAGACTGACATGTCGGGCACTGCATCATCACGTTCAGCTAAGTCAACGCTTTTGTGACTTAGTTCACCTGTAAGTCAGCACTCAAGAGGCTAAAGCCACAAGACTGCTGAGTCAGAAGTCAACCTGAGCTGCAGGTGAAACCCATTTCAAAATCAAAAAATACAGCATGATTTTAATAGCTACATAAAACTCCACTGTGGGTATGCCTCCACTAATTAACTACTGGATTATTAGTGAGTTAACAATTTTAAATGATATTGAAACCCTTCAACAGGGCCGGTAAGATGACTGGAATCTGGAAAAGCATTGAACAGGGCGAGCCTAGTAGCAGGATTTCCATTCCCAGAACCAAGTCAAGGAGGAAGGAGAAAACTGACCCATGAAGTTGTTCTCTGGCTTCCACATGTGCCGTAGCATGGGCAAAGCCCCACATCATACAGACATGCACATCACATACAAACACCTACACATACATCATACAGACATTCACATCACATACAAACACCTACACATGTGTCATACAGACACCCACATCATATACAAACACCTACACATGTGTCATACAGGCATCCACATCATATACAAACACCTACACATACATCATATACAGTCATCCTCACATCATACAAACACCTACACATACATCATACAGACATCCCTTACACCATACAGATACCCACACACACATCACAGACACCTTAACATCATACACACCCACACCCACATACACAAATACCATACACAGATGCCATACATACTCCCACACATCACACATTATATACAAATACTCCCACACATAATACATATATATACACGTCATACATTATATAGATACTCCCCCATATCATAAATCATACAGACACCCCATCCACACATTATACACACACTATAACTCATACATATGTACTCATATACTCACCATACACATAGACCCTCACATACATCAGGAATCAACCACACACACCACAAATTACATACCCAACACAGATATCATACACAGACACCCCCACATCATACAGACATGCCACACATACACCTATACATACACACAATAATAATACATTTCTAAATCCTTGCCTATACAGATTTATAGATTCCTGAGCAAAGACTGCTGAGTCAGCGAAAACGCACATTCTCCATCGAGGTCCTGCTCAGATTTCTGCCTCTGCTCTTTTCTCCTGTGTCTCAAATAGCACATGAAAATAAATGCAGTATCACCTATTAGGAGAAAATAGTTTTAAATTTGTTTGCTAAATTATCCTTTGTCATGGGCCATTCTATTTTGAAATTCTTCATTTGTTTTTTACTATCTGGGATGGGGGGGCAGGTGCAACTCCAAGGACAACTTGCAGGGTGGGCGGGATCCAGGGAATGCCAAGTTTCAGGCCTGAGGACCAAAACCCCGACTGGCTTCTCTCCCTCCTCCTGCCCTACCCCTCTAAGCCTACCATGCAACAAAGGATGGCCTGGGATGACAAGCCTGTGCCACTAGGCCTGGTTCATGTCTGGGGATGGAGCCAAGCACCACATGCGCGTGTGGGTGCGTGCTAAGATACAACCTCAGCCTGGATGGCTCCTTTGAGACAGGCTGGGTACCTTCTCTTGCTCTCCTCTTCACCGCCATGTAAAACCTCAAAGCTCAAAGGAGACAGGCGGTGCTGCCTGACAGTACAGTCGCTCAGAGACAGCGGAGCACCTGACCTGGCAGTACAGTGCTCAGAGACAATGGAACACCTGACCTGACAGTACAGTCGCCCAGAGACAGCGGAGCACCTGACCTGACAGTACAGCCACCCAGAGACAGCAGAGCACCTGACCTGACAGTACAGTCGCCCAGAGACAGTGGAGCACCTGACCTGACAGTACAGTCACCCAGAGA